CAATGGCAACGTGGATAGAAAGCCAGGAGAATTGAGAGTGACTAACTGGGTGTGGAAATGGAAGAGACAGGAGTTGCTGGCTTGAGAGCTTGTTTGGAGGTTCTAGCAGGGGAGCATGGCTACTCATATACCCTTGACCGAAGATCGGTCCTCCTCTATTGGGGAAGGTGGTCCTCTTTGAGCGCGCAGCTTCAGGAGAGAGACACATGGAGTGGTGAGGGAGGAAGGGGACACCCGCCTAGCCAGCCAGATCAGCCAAATCAACCCTGGTGATCAATGGGGTCACAGACATCGTAGCCAGATCGCCTTCACATCCAGGAGTTGCTGGCGTGGATGGATGGCAGCCCCATTCACTCAACTAGAGCACATTCAGAAGGTAAAGGGATTATGCAATTATCTTGAATAAATAAGTCTGAGGATGTTTCAGAATGTCCAAGTGAAGACAGCCAGCCTATAACTAAAAATATAGGCCAGGAACTTGGAGGAGATTTGTGGAAATCTGGATAGTAGTTTAAGTGGGAGAAGTGGACAAGGTCATCCAATGAGAAGAGGGCTACTCTCTCATACACAGTTTTCAATTTCTTTTAGCAATGGTATTCAAAACCAAGAAAATGGCTGTTGTCTTGTATGTGCCACAACGCCAGTGCTGTGTGGTTAGCCAGGGCTCCAGGCTCTGATGGGTGGCTCAAATGATCTGGACACTTGAAAGCAAAGCTCAATTTTTCTAGACACAGAAAATACTTTAAAATGATGGGGACAGCAGAAACAGAGCGTGGGAAACTCTTGATTAAAGGAAACATGGTCCATAGGTGAGTGGTAAGTAAAATGATGTAGGAACTGTAGGGAATTATGGAAAATCTGACATCTGTTGGGTACCAGGCAAATCAGCATTTATTACTTTCAATAAACAGCTTTGACACTTTGAGAGGACTGCATCTCTGCAGAATCCAACTGGATCACAAAACAAAGACACCATTTGTTTTAAGGTCTTGAAGACTGGATACACTAGATAATGACTTCCCAGTTTGAGGGGCAAAGGAATCCCCTACACAAAACTCTAGCCCAGTGCTTCTCAAACTTTAACATGCACACGAAACACCTAGGGATCTTGTTAAAAATCAGATTCTGATTCACCAGAATTGCTGTAGGTCCTGAAATTCAGCATTCCTAACAAGTTCCAAGATGACAGTAATGCTGTTAATCCTATTCAAAGTGTTACTCAAAGTGCGGTTAGAACCTTCTATAGCAATTTGATATTGATGTGTGAACTTGTCTCAAACAGGGCACCAACATTTTGCAATTCTTTTTTTTCTCCTATGTTATGTTTGTCTTGAAATGTAATTTTACACGTTGAATCTAATATATTTGGGTTTTATTTTGCATGTCTTTCCATGGCATTTTTTTTAGAAATTCATTTTTATTGCGTTTTATAATAGTATTGATCTATGATGGATTGCAAAAAATATTGATCCCTCACCACAAGATAGTTTGAGAAACACTGCTCTAGATGATAAAGAACTTTTTATTTGGGACATAAATTTAATTAGAAATGGTTCTGATTTCTGTTACATATGATTCTAAAGCAGTATTTTAAACTTTTCTTTTTATTTATTCCATAAACAATAACAAAATTCAGCTAGGTAACATTATGACAGTTTCACCATACATTCAGTCACAAATATTTAAAACCTTTGCAACAAGAACAACAAAACCAGAAGTATTACAAGAATAATTTACAAGAAAATCTATAAAACAGCAAGAAGCTCACAAATGTTCATTTTCTTTTGCACAAGATCACTACACTCTTTCACAACATGTTTTGTGTTACAAAATTCCCAACAAAAGTGTATTTTTTCTTTGTATTGTGGTTTCTAAAACCAGAAACTTTGAAGTAAATATCCTTTTATTAGCACCTAGTGGTGCAGAAAAAGGAAAACTCTCACATACAGACACTTCACAGCACTTTTCTAAGAAAAATATACACTTACAAAATATGTTACAAATTGGCACACTTAAAAATATACAAGATTTTGTAGGCGTCTTAAGAGTGATCCTTAAGCTTTATACTTCAATTGACTCTACAGATTATTTATAAAGCTTAACTCTAAAAGAAAAAAGGCAAATAATTTCCTAACATTTTAAAGTTGCAGTGTCATATGTCAAACAGAAACTTAGGTTACATTCATAAAAAGGGCCTCTAACGCTTTTATTTTAAATCTTCTTAAATGCTCAAGGGACTTGGGGAAGAAGAAAGAAATGGGGATAATCGTTTTCTTTAGCACCATAAATCAGTAACTTACTAAAGAGGTGCATTCAGTTCTATGGAAACTAAAGACTAGTACATTCAAAACTCTGTAGGCAGCAAACTCCAGTCAGTGCTACAGGTATCCCAGTAGAGCATCCTAAGATTTCCACACTCCTCACTGGGAGTAAAAAACAAAAGGCCTCTTCTAGTTTTCATTCTAAGCCTTTTTTTTTGTGCTGTAAACAACCAGGCATCTCTCAAAGAGGCAGAATGATTCAAATGTCTCCTTTCTTCTTTTTGAATGTGATGTCATTCTGAGACTCAGAAATCCCCAAGCCTGTGAGAAGGACAGACATCCTTGCCATCTTATGTGGATGAATCTTCAGTGTCTTTACTATTATCCAGATCCTGATTTTAAAAGCCTCATTCACACCTTAAACTTTGTACTAAGCCTCTCTTTTACACTGTCTTCCTCCAATGTTTCACCTCTTACGATTCTGAAACCAAGAGTACATCTCAAGTATGTAGCTGCAACGAGAGTTCTGCTTTATGACTGTAGCTACTGTTTAATGCTGAGTAAAATTGTGCCTTAAAGGGTTGCCTGAGTACTGTCATCAAAATAATCTCATGCTGGTTGAGGACCCTCAAGATGATGACAATGTTTCCCAAGTTAAACAGCCCAACTAAATTTTTTTTCCTCCCTTTTGTGGGTCTTTGAGAAACCTTTACAAAATCCCTGGCCTACATTGTGTTGACAAGATTCCTATCTGTTACTAAAATGTTTGATTTTGGTACCAAGCCTTCTACATACAACTATAGGCTTAGTGAATTTTATGATTATAAAACAAACCAACCTCACATTAATTTTATTTAATAAAAAGGACATCTTTCTGTAGTAGTGGACAGTCATTTAAAAAAAATCCCCAAATGAAAATGCAAACTCCTTAAAGTAGATAATTTCTCAATAATACAGGAGAAAACAAACATTTCTAGTTCTAGTAATAGTTAGGACTAGCTAGTGATCCATTCTCTTCTTCAGCACAGAAACTTAGCTCTCTTCAATTCTTGGAACTGTTCTGAGAGCATGTGTCAACTGAAAATGTGGTGGATCTGCATCAGACCGGTTCAGCTTGCTAAGAGCAAGCTTGGCTAAAAGGTCCTTGGATATGGTTTTTATCCTTTAGGCAGTAAATTCTAATTCAAACCCACTAACATGAAAATTCACTAGAACTGCAGGACCTCACATAACAGGACTTAGGATGCTAGCTAGAGTTGTTTACAGCTTTTGAAGCATCCTTTATGTGTCTCTCTTACACACACATACACACACACACACTTATCCCCTCCCTTGCCCCCTCACACACACACAGATGCTTCCCAGCAAGGAAAAATGTCAGAGAAGGTGAAAGTTGTCAGAAAAGCCCACCTAGCACCAAGGACTTCAGGGAGATGGCTGAAGAAGTGATGGTCAAAGTAGTGCAGGAGGTTTGAAAACATTTAGGAAAAGGTAAGGCCTTAACTCATAGTTGAGTAACAAGAAGTCTGAAGGGAAAGCTGGGAGGAAGCAGCAATATGGGAGGAAGCTGGAGAGGCAGAGAGGATGGCCACTGATTCAAGCCAGTTATCATAGCTCAAACATGACTCCCAAAGTCTTGAAGATCTTTGGTCAGGGCCACTATTTCAGCACCCTGCTCCACATAGTACAGCACCTAACCAGGGCAGGAGATCAGACCTATTCTCACCAATTTAAAAAAAATAAAAAAAGAAGAGTTTCCAACTTTCCTCAGCCATGAGATATAGTTTTTCCACGTGTGTGTGTGTGAGTATGTGCTTAAAATTAGATTTGAAAAAGGCCAAGGCAATGAAAGGTAATTAAGAAAGGGAAAATTCCCTTATGAACTTCTAGAAGAAAGCAACCTGGATAAGGTTCTTAAACCCTGACAATTTGGGGAGGTAGGATATAAGACCCTAAAAGAAGAAAATTCTAGACTAAGCTTTGAGATTAAGTAAAAAGAATAAGGGAGGATATCATTTCCAGGAAAGTAAAGAGTAAATGGAACTCTGGTGGGAAGGCATTAATAGGAAGCAGTTTCTCAGAGAGGAAAGGTTAGAAGAAAAGAGTGGTAATCAGTAATTTCAGACCAAGGAAAATACAATATTTCTGACTTAAGATATCAGTGATAGGGCAAAACACTATTTTTATACATTGGTCCTCACTCCACTAAGGCAGCTGGTTGAATAAGGGATCTCCAGTAAGTCCAGCCTACTATGTTGTGACAGGAAGAAAAGGAATTGTGAGAGCAGAGACAGGATCAACAGAATGCTAAATGCTAAACAACCCAGAACATAATGTACTGAGAGGGATATTAAAAGCAATTAAGAGAATAAGCATCTTCTGCCTCGGCCTACTGCTCATTTCTCAAACTTGTTATGTTTCAGTTCAAAATGACTGGTTATGAGTCACTAATTTATATGTTAAAAACATATAATGCACTGCAGGCCAATAAAAAAGGTCCTTTAAAATAGTAATTCTCTTTGGAGAAAGGGAAGAACTATGCCCTAGAATTGTCACTTCATGGGCTCTATAAGGAGCAACTGAAAAGAGCATCCACTCCGAAGGACTCATGATAGCAAGTTCTGACAAGGAAATGGTTTCCAACAGGCTCGGGCTGTCCTTCTTCCCCACTCCCACCCCATTCTCCAAAGCTAAACTGATATTGAAAACAAAAACAAAAACAGAAACAGAAACAAAATGGCGACAACTGCTCCCGTATTTATTTTTATCAAAACACGTTGTACTCGTGGAACATTTTCTTTATTTCTTCTTTAATTGCCACCTTTTGGTTACACAGAAAGCACTCCATTCCTGTAAGCCAGCAGGTGACTTTGAGGTTTGGAGTCTTGGGGATCACAACACAGGCAAAGTTAGTGATTCCAAGCCAAAATTCAGCTGCAAAACAGAACAAACAAAAACAAAACAAAACAAAGACCAGTTCCTAGGAACCAGCCATAGCATTCATAGCATTTAACACAAACAGCTTGCTATTAGAGTAGAGAAATAGAAGAAAGTGTTCCAGTTTCATTATTTTCCCTTTTGGATGGCAGCTGTAGGGCAGGAGACATGTTTCATTTGGTGCCTTTCCACTAAGTAATTTTCCAGGGCTCACTACGCACAGAGTATCAAAGCCTAGGAATGGGCCTAAACCAGCCTCCCAAAATGCTCCATACACTCATCTCCACAGACAGAAGAGACTGATGCTGGGAACGCACAGAATCAAGAACACAGGCTTGTTCATTACACTACCTAGCTGTAAGTAGGAGAGCAGGCTGGTGAAAGGAATCATGGACCGGGAAGTGTGTATATACTCTTATACATGACAGGCTTCCTTCCATTTCTCTCTGACTACTTTCAAATGTTGCTTCTCTGTTTGTGAATATATTTAGGTGGCAATGACTAGGTAGGTTCAGATTTTGCTTAAATTTTTCCTTTTGAAACATCTTCTCTTTTTTGTTAAGTCCCCTTTTTCCCCTACCCACTTATTTTCCACCCTCCCACCCCAGCCTATATATTCACAAGTTAATAGGTTAGTAACAATATTAGTAAGAATAGTAACAACAACGACAACCAACAACATTAATAATATTAATCCCCTATATCTGTATAGCACTTTACGATCTACAAAGCGCTTTCACATCCAGTATCTCATCTGTGCCATAATGCATCAGTCATCAGACACACGGGCCTTCAACTGTGCAAGGAAAAGAGATCAAATGTTAGACGTCAAGTGGTGAATAAAGGGGAAGAAAAGGCTAGTAGTGAGGGATGCTGGAGCTGTGAAATTTTTAAAATGGAGGGAGGACTGAATAAAAATGTGATTTTTAAACATTTATATGAAACATCGAGACTTAAGTTTAGTGTTTGGCATCAAATACTAGTCATCCTTAGACTGAGTATATATGGCCCCAATAAGTTGTTTCCACAAATTGTTCAGCTTATCTGATATTATATGTACTTAACTCATGGAAAGAAAAATTGGATTGAACTGAGATGCCTTAACATTTTCTTTCAATGACATTGGCATTGCAAGATTAAACATTTAAAGAACACTAAAGCCATGATATGAGTGCACTTTTGACAAAACTGGAATAAAACATTTAGGAAACTACTTAAATAAAAGCAATCTTCATTTGCTTTTATGAAGTACTTTTATGAAATACTTCATGAAAGTACTTCATTTATCATTAGTGTTGATTTTATAGCTATTTTATAATTTATCCCAGACTATTATAAAATATATAAAACTGAGATATAAAGTATCAGCAATATAACTTTGCACTTTAAATAATTTTCAGCTACAGATTTTGCTTTTTAGAAAACAAGCTTTCGAAGCAGCTGTTTTGTTTCCTTGTAAAAGGTTCTATAAATGCATATACTCGAGTCCCCGATGGACTTAGCTGTTGTGACTTTCAGACTTTTCCAACATTTTAACCCTTAGACAATGGGACAAACAAATCTTAATTGTGCCTTGTTTAACTGTTCATGTTTCCACACAGGAGAGTAGAGTTTTAAACTTTAAAAGAATGTATGTATGTATGTATGTATGTGTGTGTGTGTGTGTGTATACATATATACACACACACACATATATGTATACATTTAAAATTCATTAATGAGCTTTAAACTGTGGGGTGAATCTGTGAGATGAGGTAAGGAAATTTGGCACATTTCAAACAGTATCCTTTAAGTTTTGGTAAATTGTGTAACACAACATTTTTTCCACTGTGATCTACAGGTGCTATCCACATAAGTGGGGGTGGTTAATAGCAAGAATCACTGGAATGTTTCTAGTAAATTAACAGGGACAAGCTCCCCAAATACTCACAACCAAATGTTGATATAGAAGTAAAAATATATACAGTACAGTCACTTGTTTGTAGTTTGGCACAATGTTTTGCATTTTTTCCTTGTGGGTAAATAGTGCATAAACTACTTGTGCAACTGCATGACTTTTTTAAGTCTTTTACAAAGAACATCAGATTAAAGTTTGCTTCCAAAGACTTATTCCCACAATTTAAAATTCTTTTCTTTAAGCACTTACATGTCAACATACATACCACAAGGCATATTTTGAAAGAAATAAAACACAAACATCAAATGTCTTTCTGGAAAATGTGAGTCTCTTCTTCAAACACAGGTAAAACCCAAAATGCTGTTTCTGCTTTTAGGAGATTGTAGTCGGAATCCCTGCAGAAAAATCAAACAATTTATGCCATCTTAGTTAGTTTTAGTGTAAGTCCCACAAAGGGATCATACAATCTCAATTTGTTAACATCATACTAGATGTTGTATGATGCAGAGAAAGATACAAATAGCAGGGGGCACTAGAAAGCACTCCTAATTGCCACATGTTGAGATTTCGTCTTCCAACTATGCTCTTTTTGTTTAAATGATCTTGGCTTTTTGTCTAATGACTTTTTAATGCTGTTGTTCAGAATCTGTCTTACTGCAAAGCCCTTCCCTTCCCAAAATCATTCAAGAGCAAATTTTAGTTTTATTTTCTTAATCAGTAAAAACTAATGTTGAATAGCAGAAGAAAAAGTAGCCTTGTTAGAACGTATCCCTAGTAAGCCACAACAAAATTGCCCAATCTTTTTGGGTGGCATAAAGATATAGAGATTTTCATGCACTTTTGTTCTTTTCTTTTTAATTTGAAATAGAAGGGAATGGGACAGTTTCTTTCATGCAAACTTTTGCTTTCGAGAGGGAAAAAATGAGGGACTGCGGGCTCGGCAGGTAGTAGGAAAGCTAAGGGTGCATCATCTCAGCCATTTTGGTGCAGTATTACCTCAGTTTTTCAAAAGAAGCTGTCCCAGCCTCATCCTTGTGGACCTGTTCTCGCTCCATGTGCTTTCCCTTACACTTCTCATCTCTCAGGGCCTTGGAGCTGGATTTGTGACGATATAACTTTTTGTGTGTCGGTCCGTTATTGCCTAAAGTGCTCATGTTACTATACTTTTTATCAAAGAAGGCAGAGCGAGAGTCCTCGTTATAACCAGGCATGTTTGTATGACCAGGATCACCTATTGCTGCTTTCCCATTGCTTTTGCTCACACCTTTGATTGACCTGTGATTCTTAGTGGCTCCTGGAGACCCACTGTTGACCTTTTTCTTAGACTCCTGTGGTGTCCCAGCCAATATTTTGAGGGTTTTTAATTTTAGACTATTGGACTCAGGGGAGTAGAATATGTTGGGGTCCCCATGGTGCTCCATGGGTTCCCAAAGGGGCTCTATGGAGGCCATCATGAATCTCTGTACATCTGCCATACCAGAGGCAATGTTGGACAAGATATAAGAAGGCTCCTGAAATTCCCGTTGGTCATCATCCAGGAGGCTGTTGGAGTTGGTGCCCACGCTCAAGTCGCTCCAGCCTGGGCTGCTTTCCTTCCCCAAAGCCCAGTCTCCAGAAAGTCCCTTCTGATTTGCCATCTTCCCAGAGGCCACGGGACCACCATGTTGGATACATTCAGCCAATGTCTTCCCAGTGGAGGATATGTTGTTAGTTTGGCCTCCCCCACGGCCAATGCCAATTTGCATTTTTTCTCCATTGATGGCAGCCATGTATTTCCCTTTCTTTGCTGACTTAGAGACCTGGCGGGACGGTTTGCCAGGTGGCTTTTCAATCCCTTTGTTGTTGGCTTTGAGGGATTTTTTCCTGGTGTTTTTCTGAGAAGAGCTTTGGTTCACAGCCCCATTCTTGCTGGGTGAACTTTTCTTTCTTGATTTTGACACTTTGTTGTTGGTACTGATTTGACCAGATGGATCATTAAATGTTGACAGGCAAGGGTTTTTTTGGAGCAGGCTGACAGAATCCTCATCATTGAACATATGGAACTGAAACTGATGGTTATTTAAAGTAAATCCATCATCCGCTTGGACCTGCCGTGAAAGGGTACTGCAGTCCCACTTGATTTTCTCCATGCTGCCCAACGATCCTGGGGCACCCTCTTGGAACCCCTTCAGTGTTCCTAGTGTCTTGATACTCTCACATCTGGTAATTTGAGGTGAAAGACTGGGGGTGTCAGGTGGGGACATCTCTGAAAGGGACGAGTGGCGGAATTTGTCAGGAGTAAAGTTAGAGATATCCAGGAGGTCAGTGGACTCCTTTAATGGTGCTATCTCATCAATGCTCTGCTGAATCACCAGCTTGGGGCTGCAATGGGCCAGGAAGTCATCAGTGATATCATCATCACCATCTTTTTCGCAGGGCTTCAAGCTTAAGGAGCAATAATTGCTTGAGCTGACAGAGAGTGGGGCCATTGACTCAAAGCTAAAGAGCCGACCATCATCCATATTGACTGGGCCTTGCTGAAAAGGAAAGCAGATCTCTCCATTAGTAAAGTGACATAATTGGTAAGAGTTATCAGATGGGAGTTGGGTATCTTGCACAGAAGCATACAGGACCTTGCTGGAACTACTGCCACCACTGTTGAGGCAGATTGGACTGTATGTTGAAACTGTGAGGTTACTGTCCATAGGGACTACTTGGGAGGCTCCATATTCATTGGATTGGGTTGGAGTTATCTCCCTTGAGACTTCAACCATGAATTCCTGGGGGCCAGAAGTAGCCTTGTTGGGCCACACATTTCCATAGTTGTTTGATTCCATTTTGAAGTTATGAGATGACTGCTGTAGCTCAGAGTCAGAGGATGAGGAGAGCACACAGTCCTGGGCAGGCTGGAGAGGTACAAATGATTTTTCAGTTTGAGCGAGGCTGCCTTCATTTTGCTCTGGAGAATGGTGGGTGAAGTATGAGATATTAGTATTATTTGACAAGTCAGAAGCATCTAACAATGTCTGCAGATACCCTCCAGGGATAACAGGTATATTAGTGGCAACACTAGCAGATGATAGAGGCATTTCAGAAGAGCAGGTGGTTGGTAGAAAAGTGGAATTCTTAGAAGCCTTTGCCTCATGAAATTCAGACAGATGGGAACTGTTTGAGGTCCCAGGAATAACTTCATTCTTTAAATTAGCCTTGGAGGATTGGTCTTCCAAGAGAGGGCTCACTTGAACAATTGGCTTGCTTTCTTGCACAGAAGCTTTAATTTTCTTGGATTTTAACCTGGCTTCACTTTTAAATTTGATTTTATTGAGCACTTTCCTCTCTGGCCCCTTAAACTCTGTGTCTTGGGCTTTGACTTTCACTGAGTCAGGACCTGTGACATCAGTTAAATGTGATCCATTTGCACAGCTGGGGGCAGCAAGAGGTACTGACTTCAGTGTACCTTTTAGGCTTCCATCTTCTTTACGATTACTAGCTTGCCTCTGATCATTGCAGAATGAAACCTGCTTACTACTTGCGGAAGTTTCCATGGACGGGATTCTTTGAATCCTGTGCCTGTTGCCAAGTTTAGATTTCCGTTTGCGAGCAGGTGGCAGGAATGACACCTCATAGGTACCTGGTTCAAAGCTTTGCTTTTGGCATAAGGGTGTCTTGATGGAGTCTGTGTTGTTTCTCTGCTTCTTCTTCTTCTGCCAGAAGCCCTTCAAGGGTGCCAGCTTGGCATATTTGTTCAGCTGATTCTCACTCAAATTCACTGTTGTCTCACTGGCATCCACCTTACCCAACTTCACCAGCATGTTCTTCTCACCTTTAAAGCGATTGATGATAATATATTTGATAATAACAGGGGGCTCCTTACGGGTTACTTTTCTTCTCTTTTTGGGACACCATTCATCATCATCTTCCTCTTTGGAACCACCTGGTAGCCATTCTTTCCTCTCATTTACTTTTTCACCCTCTAATGAGTCAACATCATATAGATAATCTTCACTGTATCTGACTTTTCTCTTGGCTCGCAGCCCATAGTTCTGCTGGGAGGAGGAGCTGCCGGAATTAGTGTCCCGAGCCATATAGCGGCTACAGTCTTTGATCTCACCCATGGCATCATATGAGACCTCAATGAAGGAACTTTCATCACTGAAATTCCCTGATGTCTCCAAGGAATTAGCAAGATGGCCCTGTTTGGGATTCTTAAATTGCCCCACCTCAGTCCCACTGCATGGTTTATTTAAGGCAGATTTTTCTCCATCATCTTTTCCATCTTTTTTCTCTACACCTTTGTCTTCCTGTCCTTCTTCTTTGCCTTTCTTCTTGTCCAAGATTTTATCTTCCTCCCCCCAGATGATGCTCATGTCAGGGACCTTGAATTGGGAAAGATCACTGCTCTGTTTCAGGGCTCCACTCTTAGCCTCTCGCTTGGGGCAGGTAGTAAAGACACTGGGAAAAAAGTTGAATTGGGCATCCTCCTGCATCAGAAGGGTAGTCTTGTCACGAACATTGTCCTGAAAGGACTCATATCGAATTTTCAGGGAGCAGACATCACTGCCCAGTGTTGACTCATCATCATCGAACATGTAGTTATCCACATCTTCTTCAGAGAATAGGTTGACAGATAGCTCATTCTTGGAACAGAGGTCAAGCAGTTCGATCTTACTCTCACTAATGAAAGTTTCAAAGTAACCCCAATCCTGACTGGAATTTGCAAGCAAAGCTTCTTCTGTATTGCACTTATCTAACAGTAATGCCTCATAATAACTTTTCTGAGTTGGATCCTCCAGGTCGATGTCAGGTTTCTCAGCTTCTCGTCTATCTCCCCCCCTTGATTTATGCAGGGGGAAGCCTAGGAGCTGATCTGAGAGCAGCTGCTCTCCGTATTTCATGTTTTCTCCAGCATTGATGCACTGAATCCCTATGTCAGAGACTGCACACGTTTCATAATCCCTATTTAGATCACCAACTTTCAGACTGATCCCTGGCTCAGGATCTACTGCATCCTTGGATTCCATGAAGCAGCCCAAGCAAGTCCGGCTTGGCTGCATGAGACAGTCCCCATTCAGAGCTGACATGCCTGCAGGCTCCATTATGGCAAATGGAGCTTTCTCACACTCGTTGGGCAGTGACCATGTATTCAGGCCTTTTGTAACACCAGACGTGAGGGAGATGGCATTCACAGAAGCACTGTTAGCAGCATGCTCAGGTGCTTCAATCAGGCCCAAAGGAGAGGAAGGGCTCTGCATACAGGGCTTCTTAGAGGGTAGAGGCAGGAGACCCCTGGGATATGCCAGGGTGTCTTTTTGTGTCGCTGGTATAGGCTGGATTGGTGCAGCAGCTTCTAGAGCTGCAAATGACTTCATTGCCATATCCTGGTCCTCTGAGTCTAGAGAAAAGGGAAAGAAATGACAGGAATAAAGTTAAGGGTCTTAGATCAGACTCATGAACTCTCTTCTCCTTGATCAGTTTCTGGTACTTGATCTTATTATAAGCTAAACCTCCATTTCTCTAGCTTTAGAAATCAAAACTACAACATTGAAAAATAACCTTGATTTTATATTGAACATTCATGCAAGTGAAAAATAATAATTCTTTAGGCCCAGCTTCTTCCTCAGAGAAAGACAGAGCCTTCCATAGAAATGAGGAAAGAACTGGACTGCTTGATCAATTGGAAAGTCAAAGCTTTCAGGGGGAAAAATGCTCAGTTGGGACATTTATAGTTTTGAGCTATATGGCTCTGAACCATCCTGCAGACCCATGTTCTGGAAGCTCCTGGTGATTCTAGAAGTTCCAAGCCTCACATATTTCTAAATCACTAGGAATTTTCAGGAACTTCACCTGACAGAGATGATTTGGGAGGGTAAAGGGGTTAGATTCAATGCCTCTTAGAGATGCTTCTAGCGCAGTTAGAGATTTGGTGGAGCAAAGTTTAGAATTAACATCAATCTCAGAGGCATCCTGGACTCAACCTGTCCCAACTTTGTGGATATTGAAAATCCATAGCAATAACAAAGGACTACTGGGAGAGATATTATATACTATAATTAGATTCCCTTACCATTTTCTTTGACCCCATTAATCAGAGTGTTTTCTCCGTTGGCTGAGGCAACAATAGCCTTATCTTGTTGGTTATCCATGAATGTAGCCTCTTATTGTTTCATTCCAAGTCCAAATGCTGTCCAACCTGCACATTTCAAATATATAATATCAGTCATTACATTTGTTTTATTCTGTGTTTTACAGGTTATTTATGCTAGAAGGGTCTTAAAAGGCTTACTAGAATTTATCTGTTTCCAGACTGGCTTCATTACTGCTCATGTTCCTATTTCATAGTTTATACCTCCCATATAAGTCAATTTGGAAACTCACACTTCATTCATACATCCTAGATTCTTCTATCCCCTCTAGGCCATCATACTATTCAAAACTGAAATCTGAGGAAGCAGGCAAACTTACCCTTTCTTCCAGATAGTACCAAAATTAACCTAATCATGGATGCCCAATTAGGAAAGACGCAAAGCAGAGTTCTGACTAAACTGAGATAAGGTGTGTGTGCATATGGAGATTAGCTTTATTTTTATTTGCTTCATGTATACTTCACATGATCAGAAGTTCTTCACAAACAAGCCAATTCATACATACACCCACAGATACATCACATTCAGGTTTTCTCTCTCTGTGCCTTAAAAATTGACTGCTAAAGTTGAAGGAGATAGAGAATTCCCCTTGGCTTCTCAACGTTCAGAAACAACTTGGATTTTAACAAGAATCCTTCCAAGCCTTCAGCAAGATTTTAAAATGTGTCTACAAAGATCTAGATATTTTGAAAAGGATCCAGCATCATCTGGTATTTTTAGGGCTTAGTTTCTATAGCTCCTCACTTCCTGCCTACCTACCTACCTGCCTGAGGGATAGGTGTATACAAAATTATAGGAGACAAGATTGAGGTACCTACCATGTGCTAATACAACACCTATAAATCCCTATTTATTCCAGACCCCTGTCCCCTAGACCTCCTCCCCAGCCAAGTATCTATCCCTTTATTAAAAAGCACAAGCCACTGATAGCCAAGCAGCTATTATAAGAATCTCAATTGTATATTCACTTATCCTAATATAATACATGCACATAACTATAAAAGGTAGGTCCAGCATTGAGGTAACAAGAAGCAGTAAGAGTTTCACATGATTCAATCTATAAGACATTTTATCTATCTGGGCCTATTTCTTTATCTATAAAATTAAGAAGTCTGTATTATGTAAGCTCCCAGTTTTGAAAATGTTAGATGACTCTGGGTTTCCCCCAACACTTACATATTAGAATTGCCAAATTTTCTTCTCATTTTATATGAGACCAGACTTTATGAGTAGCCAATAAACCATGGGTGCCAGGGAAAAGAGAAAAAGATGTATTTACACAGAAAGAAAGGCTAGAGAGTTTTAAAAGGTGGAAAGGACTGAGTAACAACGTTGATGTTCCCACCTTTTGACAAGGAGGGCTCATTTGTAATGGAACCAAATGAACAGATCAGATAGCTGCCCATGCTTCAAAGAGGACCCTATGAGTGAGATGGAATCAAATTGCCATCACGAATTGCTCTGTGCATCTTTCTTTTTTAAGGAATTCAGTAGAACTTCAGGTATCATTTACCCCTCTTTTACCCCTCCACTAATTCCATTTTGGCAAGGACTTGATAGGAGCAAATTATTTGTAGATTTCAATAATTTAATGTCTTCTTGTCCTTTATAGTTAATTACAAGTAAGTCCATTTTTATCACCAAGATGACCAAGGCACAGAAAGAGAGGCTGTGACAGCTGAGGTCTAAAACAACATAATGATAGATCTATGAAAGGAACCAAAGTCTCCTGACCAAGAGAACAGGTGTTTTATTTTTTTTTCTTAAAACACAAAATGCCTTCCCCATAATTCTCACCACTTTTAACCCCTGGCCAAAAACAGGGCTACTGAAATACAAGTTTCCACTTGTTACTGATCTATACCTCTACCCCCTTTCAGGTAATGAGACAAAGAACAGCTGCCTCAGACAAGTATTGACTATTAGTAAAAATTAATGTACCATGAAATATATATAGGAACAGTATACTTAAGTATGAACAATTATCCAACTTGTCAGACAGGACACAAACACTTCATCATGGGACATATTAATGCTGCTGTAATTTTACTCTAGGATGTTATTTTCCTAAGAACATAAATTTCCTCTAATGGAAAAATCTGACCAAGCACCCAGGATTTATGGCTTTGAAGTAAAGGGAATCTTACTGGGTTGAGAATAGAATAGACACACAATCTGGCAAGAGATAAAGAAGAGGTGTAGTAGGTGTGGGAGCTTGATGAGTTGGGAGGTGGAGAGGAGGGAATAAATGCTCACTAGGTGTTAGGCTAGATACAATCACAGAAGTTACTTCATTTTGGATATATAATTGTAAGGTTGCTTATATTAGGTTTTAGATTTTGGAGAAGGATTATAACTTCTCATGGTTACAAGACAAAGAGCTCTGGACTTGCTTTAGCTTTTTCCCATTGATTGGCATTTTAGGACAGTAATTTAGGTGGGTTTTTAAAAATCTATTTTGAGCTAAAATTGATTAACACTTTTGGAAGAATGTACAACAAATGGCTTTGCTGATCATAGTAATTCACACAGTGTAATGGTATTAAAATAAGAAGAGCATGAAGACAGGCATTTTGAAGCAAGGAAATGCTCAATTAAATTACAAAAGCAATCCCTCCTACTTGCCCTTCCCATCACTTGGGCCTGAAGAAGGCTCATAGATTCTGTCCCAGTGGGCTGCTATGCTCTTCCCCAGAGGCCTTGAAGCCTTAGATCTTAGAGTCTAGATGACTCACATCAGCAGTTGTGTTGGGAGTTGTCCCTGGCTTTTCCCAACTGTCCCTGGCTTTTCCCAACTTTCTTGCCTTGCTTCCCAAAAGCAAGGCAAGAAAGTAAATCATGTGCTTGCTTATGGGCCTGAGACAACATAGCCTTTGGGGTTTGAGTAGTGCCTATCTCTGGGATGCCAGTTTGAATCAATCAAACAAATTTACTAGGTACTACCTGTGGTCATGGTATTGTATCAGGCACTGAAGTAAGAAATGCAGATGAATGAGACTAGATCCATGTTTTCAAAGTGCTCAGAGTCTAGTGGGGAAAAAAAGCCATACACAAATCATAATATAAGTATAATATACTGAAAGAGAGTCAGAAAGTTTTTTATAGGAGTCGCAAATGGAGAGAAATTATTCCATTTCTAGAGAGGAGATCAAGAAAGTCTTCACTAGAAGCAGCAACATTTAAGAAGGAGCTTGAAGGATGAGCTTCCCACCTTGAAGGAGGTGGGAATGGGGAAGTACTGTGTAGAGAAATATATTCCAGGCTGAAGGACATTCATGAAGTGCCGTGAGTCTCCTCAACACTCCTGCATATCCTTTGAACAACTACTATAGAATCATGGGCCTGACAACTTACCTTAAACATTTCTGTTTTGCCTTGCATACAATACCCTTCTCAATCCTCAATCTCTCAAGTTGTATCCTCTTTTCATTCTGTTTACTTCCCCATATCCTTCCAAATATTCTATCCCTTTATGCTCCGTTAATATGTAATACCATTTTTTTGTTGTTATTTCTAGGCATCTTGCACTTAATAGTCTCTGCTCGGAATTCCTCTCCTCTTCCCCTATTCCTTCCCTTCCTACCCTTCCCAGCCTCTCTTTCGTCTTGCTGTCCTCTTCCTACTCAATTTTTCTTGATGCATTCCTTGACTCTCCCCACTCCACACAAAATTAGTTTCTGTCCTCTGTGTTCTCAAAGAATTTTTATCTCCTCTGTGTTTATGACTTTATACAAACATTACTTCTTTATATCTGAGACAGAAGTGGGGAGATAGGTTAGGAGACAATGCTCAGGTGTGAGATGTCAAGAAGAATAGAATTAGAGAAGAGGAAACAGAAATGGAAAGGAGATGTTGGATTCAGGTCCAACTGCAGAAGTGTGCTGTATAGACTTGGAAAATGATTTAGATATAATGACAGGTATGGGAGCAGTAGAGAGCATATAGAGAGAAGAGAGAGGTCAAGGAATTGATAGATAGCTCTGAAAGGAGCATCATGGGTGGTTGGATTCCAGGACAGAGTAGCCTCAGAAATACTGGTGCCAGGAAATTCTTGGGAACAAAGCAAGGTGGGTGAGTAAGAAGCCTAACTGTCAGGTCCAACATGGCTAATAAAGCTAACCAGGGCCCTAGCTGTCACACTGGAAAAGAAGCAAGTGACCAGCAAGCTGTTATAGATGGGGAATCTACAGATTTGGTTAGGGACTGTGATGAAGCAAGGAGATGGTGCTGTTGTAGCAAACAGGTCCACAGAAGATTTTCCAGGCTAGCCCACCTAGCTCTGTCAGGTCTGATTCTTCTCAGTCCAGTTCCAGAAAGTATAATGGATGGCAGAATCAGCAGTAGTACAGAGAGCATATTCTTATTCATAATTCTGCTTGGCTAATTCCATTTTCTGATATCTACCAGGATTTCAAGACCATAGATTAGAAATATGCAGGTATGATGCTTTTAAGTACAAAATCACACGTAAATGAACAACTCCACAAGTTTTAAAAATATTAAGTGTGCGAAAGACATCAAAAAGAGATAACAGTTACACTCCAAAGAATTCTATGTATCTCAAAGGTACAGTATGAATCCATTTCATCTCTCATGGTATGATTTCAGAATTTAAAAAATGTGTGCAAAAGAAGAGGTGATGTCATATAATGGACAGAGTACAACCACCAAGTAGCTGGGTGTCCTCATACAAACTCTTCCCTTCATTGGTTTCATTAACTATACAATAAGGGAGATGAACTAAATTATATCTAAGGGTTGTTCTACCTCTGAACAATCTGCAATTCATTTAATTTTGTTTTCTCCAACTCTTAAAAATTGAAATTACACGTACAAGGACACATTGACATACATGAAGGAGTTCTGATTTAAGTTTTGTGTGATACTGAGATTAGCTTAAGATATACACTTGAGAAACTCTTTACTCCCTTCCACCTCATGTCCCTTCTTTTATGCCTCTGATTTTTATACATGCATACCCCAGTCCTGTCAGAGGCAGCATGTACAATGCTGTTGCTGGTGACAGAGCACTGTATGTTCCACTTGC